AAAATGCATGTTGTCAACACTGGTGTTGATATAGGCAACTTATAGTTTTGAGTTTCAAAAGCCACATTGCCACGCATGTTTCAGTTTTACTCCTCAGTGCAGCACAGCCTAGATGACATCGCTCTCAGTTTCGTATCAAATCAGAGGGCTACACATCATTTCCCTTCCACCTCGGCTAAAAATAGTTCCCAGTTGAGTGTTCATGAGTTGCATGGGCAAATCACACCTGCATGACAACAGGCACGTCTGGGCTGGCTAATGTTTTTAGTCATTTTTCATTTTATTTAGGCTACTTTCTGTACATGTAATTTAGTTAATAAAGTGATTGTTGCTGTATAGTTCTTGATGAATTACATGATCCAGATGTGGATTTAACTGCAGAAACACTGTACAAGTCAGGGTGGTTTAAACTGGTTTAAAGCTGATGTGTACGCCTTTATTAGGCTGTATTGAGACATCTTTCCATGCCTGATCTGTCAAGGTGCCTTTATCAGTCGACGCCATCTAATTGAAACGCAACAGCATCAGCAGGAATCACTGATTTTCCCTCACAGGCACCATGTTTATACATGTAACTCCCTACAAACAGGCCTGTGTTGTTATACAAAGCCTGGAGGAAAGTCGCAGTTTCCCACCTTGACACTAACACACACATACACACAAACAAACACGCACACACACTACTCAATTAGTCACAGCAGCAGCATCAGTAGCCCTGATGCACCTCCCCCTCTGGACCATAAAAGGCGATGGGAGGGCTCAATACTGACTTGCTAAAGACATCCTGTAGTGCTTTGTCATTCCACAGGCCCATTTGTGCAAGGGAAATAGCACGCACACACACACACACACACACACACACACACACACACAGCCCCAGGATCTTTAGCACAAGGAGAAAGTAACATGAATGACCAATGGTCATGGATCAATTAACAGCTACCATTGATCACAACCGCTTCTAATAACTCCATTTTCCTATGACACTGCCATCTCCCTTAGAGACTACAAAGGTGAACATGTGCATGAATATTCATATTACACAAAAAAATACATAACAAATAATTACTAGTCATTCGTATATAAATAGCTGTGGTTTTTTTTGCGTAATTGCATATGTGATTAGACAACATTATAACATCTATTATTTGTTATCAAATTAATATAATGAGTGTACCAGGATGTACCCAGCCAATGGCAAGGCAAATTAGCTACAAATAAATGAGTGATATTATCTCAGAAGCTGGACACTCACGTGACTCCTCTGCCCTGTAGGACAGCTGTACTGGAGCACCTTAGGGCAACCTCAAGAAAATGTCTCATTCATACAAAGACAAAAAAGACTAAAGAGGACTACAAAACACGGTGCAGCATTTATATTTAACCTGTTTTTCCTTTGAGATAGTATGACTGTACAGGGTCGAGCCATGCCACAGTGTGTCATGGTCTAAAAACACTGGTAAACAGAAATAGTGAACTATACAGCACTGATCTGAAGCAATAGGCTTCAGCCCATGGTCCTTATAAGATGATGCAAAGCTTGCTTGTACAACATGCAAAGTATTAATAGAGCAGCATCAACATCTACGGAGGAGAGCTGAATAAATACCAGACGCAGATAAAATGCCACTCATCTACCCATGAAACAACAGCAAGCTGATCAAAGACCCTATCACCAAAGAGACAAGAGTATTCCTTTAAAACAGTAACTCAAAGCGCTTTCATATCAACAAATGTCTGTTTCCCAGTGAACAGCCATTGAAAGCTGTTGTAAACACTACACTTGACGGTTAACGCACCACTGCTTAAAGGTTCCCTGTGGAGTTTTGGACTTGTAGTAGCACTACCTTTTCTTTATCTTGCACAGGCAATTCACGCAATACACATTCCTGCCATTATTATTTTTTTATTCTTGAAAGGATGTTATAAATACCTAGAGCTTAGTCCATAAGCTCGATCCTAACACATAATGCGAATTGCCGTTAATGAGGAAAAGAAAATTTGCATCACAATCACGACAATATTTTCTAACAAACGGCCCCTTTAACTTCACATGCTGAACATAAAACGACACGTGTGCTCATACTTACAGGCATATATTTACTGCGCTCTGTTGAAACACACTAATAGCTGCTGGCTTCACATTGCTAACACTCCACACTGACCAGCTACAACAACCTCAAGGGTCAACACTCAATCTCAAAATTCACAGTGAGTTTAAAAACAAGGCCACCACTGTAAGCAAATTGCACACAATGGTTTCACACTTTTCCACTGGTCTACAGGTGGCGGTAACACACCAAGATGTGCTGCAAAGCGCCAGCAAAGTCAGGAAAGAAGAAGACTGCTAGCTAGTAAAGATGGACACAAACAATGCTGTATTTTGGATGAGGAAGGAAATGCATTCAACATGTTTGTTAGACCTCAGTGATGTGTACACAATGCGTTTTGGTGAGTAACTCTGAATGGAGACATAACTTTTGTTTGTTTACAAGAAAACTCCACAGGGTACCTTTAAAATCCCAACCCTTTCCTTATTTATCCAAAAACCTCGATGGGACAGACGGACAGATGGTGGTGAAGGCCCGGCCCCTGGCAGGCTTGTACATATGAGCAGTCTGAGCCTGGGAGTAGGCCGCTGTGTTTATCCTGTCAAGGTATGTTAACACCAGGCCACATTCCTGTAGTCCCTAAATTGCAGTGTTAGATTACAGCCCAGCTGAGAGCGCACTCGTACACACACAAACACGCAGCACTTTTAAGCAAGAGGAAAGGCGTTAGATGACGAAGTCGTGACCAAAGTGGCAGCAGCAACAGGCGGAGTGTGTGGAGGGACGGCACCTGCCATTTACAGAAGAAGAACTGAAGAGGACTGACATACAGTGGAGCTGTGGACCGGTTCAATAAGGCCATTAGGTTTAAGTAAAAACAATCACAACTTTTTCCTTTCTCCTCCACCCTTTACAAGGATGTGCATATACATTTACTTTAAAAACACAGCAGTAACTTTTTTATATACTGCGCATGCTGCTAGAACTCACTGTAATGTACAGTGTAATGGGCAAAAACTTGTACAGTAAGAGAAAAGTAAAGGTTGTTGGGAGTCTCTGCAGGCCTATACCTCGATGACACTAATCATTTGCTGGGCTTTTATACCAGCATGTTTACAGCTGTTGCCTGGTGGGAAATCATCTCTGTATAGAAGTAGAGCAAGGCCAACTGACATGTCATCTATCAGTAAGACCAGGCAGGCTGGTATTACTTTGTTTAGATAGTTGAGAGTCCCTTCCACAAACAAACTGCAATATGGCTCATTATGAATGATATCATACCTACAGGAAATGACTCGAAAACACAAGGTTATATGGGTCTGAAGAGGTGGAGTTTAAACAAGACACTATAGTTTGGACCCTACAATAGCAGTGGTAGGTGTGAGTGTGCCCTCAGCACATATTGTTAAAGATGCCAAATTGTTATTAACCATTTACACTATTACTATCTCTATGTGATGTAATCTGGGGACTATATGTGCAATACTTTGTCTTATAATGTTCTCAGACCATAAACAAAATTCTGTAAAACTCTAAAAGTGAGGAAAGCAATTCATTTACTGCATTAATTCGCTAATTGACTCATCAATTAGCGAATTAATGCAGTAAATGAATTGGCTGTTTTCATCAATCATTGATAAATCATACCTTTCTAAGAAAAAATGAAAAAATATTCTCTGGGTTCCAGCTTCTAATATGGATTTGCTGCTTAAACTGAATATTTTGCTCTTGGATTGTTGGTTGGACAAAACAAAATATGCAGACTTGGGAAATTATAATGGCCATTTTTCACTGTTGTTTGATGATAATTTTATTGAGAAAGTAATCTGTAAATTAATTGGTCATTAAAATAATCATTGGGAGATTTGGCTTCATTATGACTAAAAGCATTAAAATGTGTAAAGTGAAATGTCACCTGAGGGATATCAGTTATCAGAAAAGGTGGGATGTAATGTAAGTTAAGGTCTGTCAACTCAGTGTCTATTACATGGCAGAAGTTTGTCCATCACCTTTAGATTGGCATGTAAATTAGTTATATTTTTAAATGACAAAGTCAGTAGCATGAGCATATGACCTGTGAAGGAAATTACAAGCACAAATTAAAGCTTTTTTTGTGAAAGTACATAGTTGATAGCATCAGCGGCTGTTTGCCACATCATGGTGATGACAGGCTGGAGGTCATGGTGCATTAGCGCAGGCTAATGTTTGGTTCGGTTCTTTTGAAATGCAAAGGAGTGAGCAGTCCGCAAACAAATAAAAAGACACCTCTGATTTGAGGCAGGTTGAAAATGAAACGAAAAGGAGAGGCAGATGTGTTTCACTTGCAGCAGAGGAAAGACCGTTACACGGACATGGACGCGCTCCTTTCATGTTATAATATAATTTAACGTTGTATGTTTGGAAATTAAACGAAGTGAGGCGCTCAGAATAAGTATTTGAGCATTATGCTGCAAGGATATCACGGGGAAATGGGTTAAAATACACCTTTATAGGTGTTGCATCACCTTGCGTACCTGGCTGTCTCCAGTCCAGAAAAAAACCAGCAACCCCGCCTTCACTGCAGTAATGGTACTGACCGCCATTCCCTTCCGCACACAGCTCAGGAAATTGTGTAACGAATTACCGCAACACAATAGAGGGAAAGGAGAGCTTTGACGGTGAGCCCTGTAAGCACTGTTATGAGGTATAACCACCTTATGCACCGGTCATTTTCCGTGCAGACACACACGGAGCTGCAGAGGGCTTTCGACCGAACAAGGCGACCAGTTCGCACACACAAACACACACACGCACACAAAAAAAAATGCATAAAAGGGAAGATAAAACATGCACAAGTGGGTCAGAAAAGAGTGTCGATGAGATAAATCCCGCGAGAATGAAGGGGGAGGCGAGCATCCATGCGAAGCTGGCATGGTACACGGTGAAAACCACAAAAAAATGAATCTCTACCTGCGCAAGTTGACATTTGGAGCGGGTTTTCCTGGCTCCTCACGAGACACAGAGACTTTAGGAAACGGCGAGCAGATCCTGTTCCGTTAACGGTCGAGAGCCGCAGGTGTTATTTCTGTTTATTTCTAGGCCATTTGTCAGCCCCGTTATCCGCGTTCAGGTAAACATGATGATGATGATGGCTCCTGTACGGACGCGCAGTCACCGTCGTGTCGTCACCAGGAGGAAAAAAAAGGTGCTTTCCAGCCCCTCGGCTCACACACATCATGCCTCATAACGGTGCCTAAATATATATTTTTTTATTTTTGGGTTTACTTTTTATTGGCTGATTTGATGTGGAGGGGGAGAGGACAGGTGAGAACTCGTCCAATGAGGGGCTCTGGCTCCAGAGTATAGGATATCTATTTTTATATCCTTTAACGTTACTTCAGAACAGGTGGACTCAAAAATACTCGGAGTCACAAAATGCTCCAGCCCACAAAAACCTATTCTGAGATCAGTTTTATAATGATATGAAGCTAAACTCGCTAGGCTACAGCAGATAAGTAGGTATGTGGTAGGCTAAATATGAAGTCCTGACAACCAAAGGCATACTAAAAGTCCAAACCTATGCTATAACTAACTTAAAAATACTTTTGTCACGCCCAAAATGCAGTAAAAAAAACTGCATTGCATTGCTAACGGTTTACACACCCGCATTGACAGGTGCAAAAAAGCAACAGCCGAAAGGTGCAAAAGGAGCAATTTACAAGACAATCAACAACAAAACCCCACGCCAAATAACAAAAACTGCAAGATTAATATAGGTGCAGGCAAATGAGGAAATGCATGCACTCATGGAGAGATACATTTGGTTTACTTCATGGTAATTACAAATAGAATTTCCACTCTTACCTTATTAACTAAGGGGACATGGTGTTGCAGTTGTAGCAGGGAGAGCTGAAGTGGACATAAAATAAACATATTTCTTTGCCATCACCGGAGCAGCAGTGAACCCGACCAAAGCCCATACAAAAAAAGCCCATGCATCCACCGCAACAGCACGATTAGGCATCCGGCCATCAACACAAACAAATAAGTTGAGTTATTATGAACTGGAAAGCGAAACGGCACCGTCCGGGGCCGAGTGAGCAGCAAGTTAGCATGAAACTAACCCCGCAACAACCTCGCCCTAAAAAGACATAACACTAAACTACAAACTGCGCTCAACGGGCCACGTTGTTATGTAAAAGCCCCGCAACCTGCCGCCAAGTGTTGCTGACGGTGGAAAAGTGGCAGAAAAGTACAGAAACAAAGGGAGGAAAAGTGAAGGAAACTTAAAAAAAAAAAAGACTATCAAGCGCACCTCGGGTTATTATAACTGACGGATAACGGTTCACTCAGTCGGGCGGCCCCATGCACCGCTAGGCGGAGAGAGTAGCCAGCCAGGTATAACGGTACACCACCACACTGGGGTATGAACACACTAATACTCCCCAAAACTCCCCGAAACGTGGCCCAACTCACTCCCAGAAAGTCTCCAGAAGGAGTTTACCGAGTGAAAAGCTCGCCGGCAGCCCGCCCGGCTCGCTCAGCGGCGGTTACGAAGGAGTTCGGACTCACCGCTGCTCCTCTTCGGGTTCGCCTGTTTTCTGCGCTTACACCTGGGGCCATCCGCCATGATCCTCTCGCTGAGTCTGAACCGCAGCGGCTCGCGAGTCACCTCCCTCCTCCTCCTGTCTCTCCCCCCCCCCCACCTCCTCCGCCTCACCCCTCCCTTTCCCCTGTCCGCTTTACGACATCACCTTCCCCCCGCAAACACCTGGTTTGCGACACCCTGGCCGCTTTTACGGCATCACCTTCTCAAACACCTCAGCACATGGCCCCTCCTACCGGCCGCACATGGGTGTGTGCTCTCTGGAAGTCGTTTCCAAGCGGTGGTCCTACCGCTCTGTCAGGGTCGGCCCGGGACTCTCACTTTCCCTGCTCCTCCTGACCACTGGGAAAAAAAGAAAGCCATGGCAGTGAGGTGTGTGTCCACAGGTGGAAATGTAGAAATGTGTAGACTAGAGCTGAAGGGAAATGAATGTGCCCGTTATAAGCAGTGATGGAGGAAGTATTCACATCATTTAAGAAGGAGTTAAAAGCAGCAGTGGTGGAATGGAATTACTCAAGTACTGCAGTACAAGTTTGATGTACTTGCACTTTTCTTAAGTATTTCCATTTAATGCTATACTTTCTATGTCACTACTTTTATTTGATAGCTAGTTACTGCAGATTATCAATACAATACATAGGCCTAAATATAAATCAACTAATATATTATATATTTTATAGATTAAGATACCAGCAGCAAATAAAGTAATTAAATTTAGCTCCACATTCAGCTGCACATATTAATAAATCAATAATTATAATCCATTGATGTGATATGTATGATGATGAAATTGGCCAGTCTGTATGTCTTTTGGTATTTTAAGTGGTATTTTTATGCTGATCCTTTTGTACTTTTACACTATTAGTTGATTATTATGGCTGATGGATTAATGTGTAAGTATTGTACGGTTGTACTTGCTCAAGGTGGAACTAATTTTATAATAATTATGAGCTAATGTGAAGTTAAAAGTTCAGGATTTCCCTCTGAAATGTAGTGGAGTAGAAGTATAAAGCACAGCAAACCGGAAACACTCAAATACAAGTAGCTCAAAAGCGTGCTTAATTACAGTACTTGAGTAAATGTACATTCCAGCACTTGTGATTTGTCTGGGAACTTGGCTTTCATTTGTTAAACTGAAGCTTAGAAATTGTAGCTCAAAATAAATAGCAACAAACAAATTGACATGTGGTAGAAGAATTATTCTGGTCTTTTACTTGACTAAAAGTAGAGTAGTAGGCTTAATACCACAGTGTAAAAATACTCCATTAGAAGTAAAGGTTTTGTGTTCAAATTTGTGTTGTATTAGATTATTATTACAGATATCTTAACATATAAACAGAGAAATCTGCATATGAATCTTCCTCTTATGACATGAATTATTATAAGATTTATATATAGTATCTGAACTTTCTTTCTGCTGAAGTAAAAGTCCTACATTCAAAATTTGACATAAGTAAAAGTACTGAAATATTGGATTATAATAACATATGCTTAATAACATCTAAATGGAGTAGCAACTATAGATGTTAAATAAATGTAGTGGACTAAATAGTATGTTTTGTTCATTTAGTATAAATTAGCAGAAAACACCACTTTTCACCATTGCAAACTGACCAAAGGGTAAACTGCATAATTCAGAATACACTCCACTACATGTGAAATGCCTTCCTCCAGTCAGACTGTAATGAGAGTGTAAAGAGAGGAGGTAGGAATCAGGTTTCTCTGTGATGATACATCATCTCTTATTCCAGCACAGGCCATGTCACTGGGTTTCAGTGGGGAAAGAAGTACTCAGATCGCTTACTTAAGTAAAAGTAGTAAAACCACTGTGTAGAAATACTCTGTTACAAATAAAAGCCCTGCATTAAAAACTATTAGAATATACTTAAAGCACCAATTATGCAATGTAAAGAGTATATTATGTCATTGGATTATAATCATTGACATATTAATCTAGGTATCACGTTAATGTTGCTGCTGGTAAAGGTGGGGCTAATTTGAATGACTCTATATAGGCCTACAGCTGTGTAGCTTAATCTATAATAAATATTATATATTTTATTAGTTGATAACATTTTGTGTTAATAATCTGAATCTGTAAAGTAACTACTAACTAAATGTATCAAATAAATGTAGTGGAATACAGTGAAGTGGAAGTGTAAAGTAACATAAAATGGAATTACTCAATTCCGGAAGAATTACCTCAAAATTGTACTTACGTACAGTATTTGAGTAAATGTACTTAGTTACTCTCCACTTCTACTGGGTTGTGTATCAGTGAAGCATAAAGCAAACAATGTCAATCATCAAAATCTACAAACTTACATTTTACGGCTCGAGGTAACACACCGGGTTTAAAATTAATTTTACTGCTGAATTGTTCAATTATATACAAAGTTTGTCAAAATGGGAATCCAAATAAAGAACAAATAATGATAGAGAAGTAACTCAGTCTTTGTTACAAGATTTGAAGTGTGTGAAGAGTGTCAGGAGCAGGACCACACTCAGCGGTGCCACATCCCACATTCTTTTAAATACTCACCTAACCCTCTCCTCCTCTTTCGCTCTCGTAAACTGCGCTCCTCCCGTCCACCCCATCTCTCTTGTTATGTTTTTTCCTCCCCTTCCTCCTCTCCATATGGTCCTGAGGGGGAAGCTACAGCAGATTCCCCACCACGCAGCAGCAAACCGAAGAACTATAAGCAAGTTTCAAGGCTCACATCCCCATCATTTTCCTTTTTGTTAATAAGTTAAACACATTTTGTTGATGGTGTGATCTTTGCTAGTGAAATAATCTACTGAGAGTCACTTGTACTTGACGTGGACCAATCAGCATGCTGTGGGTGTTGGTCAGATGATAACCTTGCCCCTCGTAAACAACTATTTTATAAGCTAAACAGATGCAAATGGATCCAAAATCCATGATCCTGCCAGATGACATTGAGAGCAAAATTGTGGTGTTCAAACTGAATTCTGTTCCCGCCTCCATTTGCTGCTCTAGATTACTATCTTTCTTGTTACCTCTCCTCACACACACAAAAATATTCTTGTCCCACCTTCCCTGCCCAATCATCACTCGTTTGTTTTCTGTCTCACATTACCAAAGATATAGGATGTTGAGTGTTTCACTTGTTCGAACAGTCATTCTCAAAGTTCAATCTCCATTTGCACTGGAAGAAAAGTCTGCTCTTCCTCATTCATGCCAAATAAAAGTTTAATCCTTTGCAGTTTGAAATCAGACTAGCAGAGGCTGCTGAATTTCACAGTGGTGGCCTTATATTGTATCTCTAACTTAATGTGTTGATTATTTATTGATGTTTAAAACGCAACATGCTACAGCTCTTAAGGAAAACAACCAGTTATCAAATGAGCTTTTGAGCAACCTGAGGGCATGTAAGATACATGCCCTCACAAACACTGAGCACAGTTTTGTCTTCAGCGGGGACAGAAGTTCAATGACAGTTCACAGCAGGTCAGGGGAGTGGCCTTTACGGTCCCGTCGAGCT